AAACCTTGGCTCTATGTAAGATTGTCTTGAATAATAAATGGGGACAAAAGAATCACACATTCATAGATTTTTGTTTTTAATGCCAGCAGCTTGGTATGTAATTAAAACCAGGATTTCCCAACCAAGGACCATGTATGGATATAACCTAGAACCCCTGCTCAGATGTAGCCCATGGTAGCTCAGTATCCAAGTGGGTTCCCTAGTAAGGGGAACAGGGACTGTTTCTGACATGAACTCAATGGCTGGTTCTTTGACCTCTGCCCCCCCCCCCTGCTGCTGCCCCGAGGGAGGAGCAGCCCTGCTAGGCCACAGAGAGGAGGACTTTGCAACCAGGCCTGAAGATACCTGACAAGCTAGGGTCAGATGAAAGGAGAGGAGGTCCTCCCCTATCAGTGGACTTGGAAAGGGGCAGGGAGAAGATGAGGGAGGGTGGGAGTGGGAGTGAATGAGGGAATGGGATACAGCTGGGATACAAAGTTAATAAACTATAATATTAAAATAAATAAAAACAACAACAACAAACCCAAGATTTCTCTGTTATGAGCCAATATCTCCTATGGGATGTTTGTGAATATTGCACACATATATATTGTGTCTGTTTTGATTCATGCATGTATATTTCTAGGTGTCTCTTAGATTCTTGAGCAATGGACAAAATCTACAAGTTCCTTTAGTAATATTTTAACATCCCATCTGTTTCTTGTAATAGCTGAGGTGTCAGGCGGCAGGCCAGCAAAACTAGGGTTGAGCTAGAAGGTAGGTCCTGAATTAATATGGTGTTTGCAGAGTGATACTGTTGCCTAGGAAACGGCCTGCATCCAGCTCACCTCCATGAGTTCAGGAAGATGCTGATGGTATTTCAGCTGTCACTTTTAACAGTCAGTCATGTCCAGAAAGCTTGCCATCTTGGTCCCTTTGCTATATATCAGAAGACCTTTTGGTAATAAAACGTAGACATCTGAGATTGCTTCTCTAAATTTTGCTGTTGGTCTGACCAAGACTGAGCTACAGATATAAAATGGAATCCCCGAGCTGGGCTGAGGTCAGAATAAGTTAAACACAGGATATAAAGGAAGGAAACAGAAGCAAAAATGCCACATTAGTGTGTGGGGATAAAAAAAAAAAAAAAAAAAAAAAAAAAAAAAAAAAAAAAAAGTAGAGGGTCTCTAAATAGATCCATCACACACAGGTACATCAGTAGGTATGATTAGCATGTAGTAGTAGTAGTTGCAGATAATTCTATGTAAATGAGCAGCAGTGAGTTCCTAAAGCTGGGGAGGGAAAGAAAAAAAACAAAAAACGAGGCTTTGCGGGCTATTTCCCCTCATCTCGGTTAAACCCTCTGAAAAGTTTTCAGCTCTGAGCACACCCCTCGTTTGTGTACAAATGGACTAAAAAGCAGATACGGACAACCTGGTAGTCCCCTGGAGGCCGAACCAGGAAGATCGCTCAGGCTCTGAGGTCCGCTTGTGCAACACAGTCAGATCTTTCAAAAAGGAGCTTCCACTTTACTACTGCCAGTGTTTCCCTCCACCAACGGCTCTAGCTAAGGCCTAGGGTGATGTCAGCCCCTATAATATCGGCCTTATAGGTAACACCACTGTTGTGGCTGGTTTTGGGTTTTCTTTTATAATTTTTTATATTAATTATATTAATTTATTTACTTTGTGTCCCAGCTGTAGCCCCTTCCCTCATTCCCTCCCAATCCCACCCTCCCTCTCTCATCTCCTCCTTGCCCCTCTCTAAGTCCACTTATAGGGGAGGTCCTCCTCCCCTTCCATCTGACCCTGGTTTATCAGGTACATGTTTTTGTTTTAATCCCAAGTGTGGGGTGTGGGACTGATTCAGATTGTCCACAGCATCAGGCTATTTGCCTCGCACAGGCTCTAAGAGGAGCTCATTGCCAGCTGGAATTAGTTGAATTCTGTGGATTTTGCGGGGTGTAAATATGATAGCCCAGAGGGGGCAGCAGCTTGGAGGAGTCAGAGGAGGACTGCTTGCTGCTCTTGCTGGCTTGCTGATTTGCTGGTTACCTGGACGTCTGGATTTCCTGATGAGTGATAGGATATTGGTGTTGCCCCCAAAAGACTCCTACGACCCTACCCAGCAGGAAGAAGTAAAAAGAGCCAAGTCCTCTCTCCCTTATAACCTTCTCCTTCCCCGACCTGGGGCTGGGGGAGGTTGGAAGGGAGGTAGAGGCTTTAAGGAACCCTCAAATAAAGTAGTGTTTTTAAAACTAGCACCTACACACCACCCTGCTGGGAAGACAAGAGTGAACGCATCCTATCTGGAATGATCGGTGTGTTCCTGTCCCCTGTGTGGACCTGAAGGAGGCAGGCCAGCAGATCAAATTCTACTTTAGACCCCCACGAACCAAATTGTTGGGCCTGACACGGGAACCTTTGTTGAATAATCAGAATAAACAGGTTACCTGTTTTTAATAAAATGGGGTTAAGTCTACTTATGTTACTTTATTATATCGTATTAATGAGCTGTGTGGCATTTATCTTCGTGCCCACACCTTTCTGTTGAGATAATCTGGGTCCCTAGCTAGGCAAATGCTCTACCACTGAGCTGCTTCCCCAGCGTCTATCTCACTGGTTCTCAACCTGTGGGTCATGACCCCTTTGGGGGTAGCCCTTTTGCAGGGACAATTGGATAACACGGATATTTACATTACAACTCATAACAGTAGCAACAAAATAATTTTAGGGTTGGGGGGTCACCACCACATGAGAAACTGTATTAAAGGGTCACAGCATTAGGAAGGTTGAGAACCGCTGCTCCGTTTGTCTGTCTGTTAAGTCAATATCTATCTCATTTTGTATCTCTGTCTAGCCTGCAATTCAAAATCCTCCTGCCTCAGCCTCCCCAGTGCTGGGATTACAGAGATCTACATCATGTCCCCTATCAATGCCTTATTTTTCTATGCTGAAAATGTCTAGAATTTTGATTTGAAGTTGCTTTAGCAATGGCACCCCACACTTCGTCAAAGTAGACAATTCAGCTTGGGAACTTAGTATAATTGAAGTATTTGGGATGTTAAGGTCTGGCCTGGGTTTTATTCACTCCCCCAAATGCTAATATTTACTATAACTAAAATGTCATAGCAGAGAAGTCTGAAGATGCGGCTCAGTCGTAGGATACTCACCTACCATGTGTGAGGTCCTGGGTTCCATCCCTAGCACTGCAGAGGGAAAGATGGAGGAAGGGGAGAGAGACAGATACAAAGAGATGGAGAGGCAGGCTGGATTTGGTACCACACGCCTATAATCCCAGCACTCAGAAGGCTGAGGCAGGAGGATCTCTAGTTCAAGGACAGCATGTGCTACATGCTGAGCCCCTGTCTCAAAATAAACTATAAAATTAAGAAATCCCTTGTGGGGATTGCTCTTCAAGCATCCGCCAGCATCTGCCTTTCATGGACGGCGGCACAGAAGCGTACGGAACCAGAGCCTTGTAAGCCCCGAGCAGAGAAGATAAAAGCCCGCACCTGCTCTCCTAGTCACTCATTTCAGGGCTGCTGACTGTGGGTGCCCGGGGGAGCTCACTCAGGCAGCAATCTCAGTCAGGATTGTATTCAAAGCCACTTAACAAAGCTTTCACTCTGGGTCAGGTGATCATCTCAGCAAGCTGGCTGATAAAACTTACCACCCTCTGCTGCCAGGTGTGACACGATGTTTACAGACATCTCCTGAGCTCCACCCATCACACCCCAGGTCATTTCACAGGCGAGCAAGTCTAGAAGGGACAGAATGCTTGAGAGGAAGAAAGGGAGTAAATCTGGAGGATGTGTTAGAAAGCTGCTGGTTGTAAATGGTGACGATGGAAGCCAGGCTGCCTCTGCGATCCTCTACTTCAAAACTCCCAGAGGGAGCTCATCAATACTTGGAGGAAAACTCTGCCTTCTCCTGTGGTTAGGTCAGGCCAAAGACATCGATTTGTGTTAAAGAGCATCAGCTTCTACTTAGTTACACTTTGGCCCTGGCCCCACCCCACACTTTATTTACTCTTAGCAGAACCCTGAATCGATCTCTCGTTTTGTGTCCTGTCCTTCAACAGAGCAGGCAGCAGAAAGCCCCAGTTAGCAAATGCTAGACACCGAGCAGTTACTGTAAGGTACATTAGACCGTCGTGGGATGTGTTTGGGGAACAAATACTCCACCTGCCCCTCCCAAGTATGGATGTAGTGCTGAACTCGACCTCGGGGCTGGGGCGAAGGGAGAAATCGCGGTTGTCCAGAGTGTAGCATGAACAGATTTCTGTTTCCAAGTCTTTCTGTATGTGGTTTTGTAAACTGTAAACAGCCAGCCAACACCTCATAAGCATCCATTGCTCCAAGGAAGCTCTTCTAGGAGCTTGGAGAAGGAGGTGAGAGGAGTGGGCAAAAGGGGTGAGAAGCAAGCAAGCAAGGAGTTTGGCCTGCAATTCGTGTCAATGGGTTATCTGGTTTAATCTGGCAGTATCATGGCAGCCAGCCAGCATGCTTACTGGGATGCCTCTGCTGAACATCCAGAAGTGTACGCCAATCGTAAACCTTTCCTCATTTTCAGTGGATGATATCTGCTGTCTCTGTTGCAGCTGCAAAAAGCTAACTAGTACGAAAGAGATGTGGATGTGAAAACACTCAGCTGTAGACAGTAGCTATTTGGTTTTTCCTATATGCAGAGGGGCCACTCAGCAAAGATTTAGCAGTGAGCGGATAGCAGATTGCATTAGTGAATATAGCACATTAAGTATTGTAATTTAAGCCTGGATGTAAACTGGATCTGGAATCTATATGAAGAGAGAGCCTTCTGTAGTACAACAAGAGGAAGACTTTCTCATTCTGCTCTGACAGAAAAAATGATCTGCAAATTTAGCTTTGCCCGATCGGCTTCAAAAATGTTCCTCGGCCCAATGTGACCTTCCATCTATCTACAGAGTTGGCAGCAGCATCTCCATGGTGCCTCCAGCGTGGAGCCATGGTAACGTGTCTCCTTTGTTTCACGGTAGAGGGAGCGAATGATAACAGGACGGGGCATGCAGTGATGCTCGCAGTGGCAGTGGCCGCAGAGGCGAAGGAGGTGAGTGGGATGGGACGGAATGTCTGTGTAAGGACACCGGGGTCGAGTTTTCGTCCTGCTCTCCAGGTTGCTTTCCAGTAATCTCCCGCTCTAAAATGGAGAGTATAGAGTGGGATAGCACAGCACTTCCGTCCTAAAGTTGGAATGAGCTGTTGGCTTTAGGGGCAGGAGGCTCTAGGCATCTGCAACCGGATCCTCAGTGCTGGGCAACTAAAGCCATCTTCCCAGGAGAAGAGCCAGGCATCCCATTTGTCCTCCATCACAGACCAAGAAACATGAGAGGGAGGCAGGAATGGGCTCTCTGCTGCAGATTTTTGCTGTGAGGTGAGTTGAGCTTTGACAGTCATGCAGACCCACTAACCATGGTCAGTGTTAGCTAGACCATCAGAAAAACTAAGCCTGTTTGCACAACAGACCAGGCAGTTCCTGTCAGAGGGCCTATGGGACCTCGTAGATCACTTGATGGGGAGCCAGACACACGCCATATCATTATGCAAAGTGTCAGCTTGTGGCTCTGCTTCATAGCAGCCTCAAGAAGGCCAGACCTTTGCAGCTAACGATGCCTGAGACTCCAGGAACACAAATGTGGTAGTACCAGAAGCCCTCACTCAAGGTTGCCCTCACTCAAGGTTGCTATCACCAAAAAAGGTGGTGCTGTGAATTCACACATTGGTGCCTTGCATTCGAGCTGAACTGTGGGTCTTACAGTAATAAACTGTGGGAGCCTAGAAGACCTAAGATTTAGTACCAAATATTTTCAGAGATATGCAAGCGAAATTAAGAGACACTTTGTTTATACCCCAAATGCTGCACCATGCTTTCCTTGGATTTGTTTATACAAGTTTTAGGGGCAAGTTACATTTTTAGCATATAATCCACACTCACTTCCAGAGGCTCTTGCCCTTAAGACAATCCATCAACTACTTTCCCAGGGCTCTAGGAAGGGAGGATAAAAGGCATATTTCGAAAAGTGGGTGTGTATGCACAAAACATGTTTGTTTTAAAAGAGACCACAAGGGCTGTAGAAATAATTAGCCATGTGCAGGAACCAAAATAATGAATGCCAAATGGTACGGTATCCTTTCCGAATCCTGTTTCAAAACAGAATGTGAATGAAACATGAAGTTCTACCATCCTTCTCTTCCCCCACCGCCCCCTGCCACTCTGTTCCCACTGGGATTATGATAGTCGACTGATGCCTCTCAGTGGGAATGCCTGTATAGAACCATCTACCTAACACACATTCTTGCTTTTCAGTCCATGCCTTCGAATAGTTGTGCGTTCATCCTTAGAATATAGTTTGTGCGTTTGCAGGAGGACGCTGGGCTTGTGTAGGGATAGTGGAGACAGGGAGGGCTGAAAGTGATGTGTGTGCATACATATGGAAGCATGTGTGTCCACATGTGGGTACATACATGTACATGTGTGTGTGTGTCTCCTGGATCTCTTCATATGTGACATTCCCAAATCATATTGCCTTTATCCATGTTGCCATCTGCTGAGAGGATTGTCTCCCTGGCCCATTCCAGGCTATAAAAATTTAAGGACTCGAGTCTCTTGTATAAAATACTGTGTTGTTTTTATGCAACCTAACCTATGAATATCCCTCTGGCTTGTCTTCTATTACCTGAACGTAGCAAAAGCTGTCTTAGCACTTGTTACATTGTGTTGTTTAGGGAACAGTGACAAGCAATCCTGTACATGTTTATATTTGTGTATTTTTTAATGGAAAACATTTGGGGATACAGGAAGACAGCTCAGTCGAGAGCTTGCAATGCAAGCATGAGAGCTTGAGTTTGATCTCTAGAGCCTACCTTTAAAAGAAAATGTTTAAAAGAACGTTTAGCATAAAGGCATGTTCTTGTAATCCCATCATTGGGAAGGCAGGGACCCGTGGATCTCTGGGACTCCTGAGCCAGCTGGCCCAGCCTACTTAGCTAGTGAGAGATCTTGTCTCAGAACAAACTAAGAAGTATTGCCTACATTTTTTTTCTGACATCTGTGTGCAGGTGCACACAGGAACACAGAGACTTGCATGAGCACATACATACATGAACATGTGTGTGTGCCCACACACAAATATTTTTGGTGATTGGTTGCATCTAAGGATTCAAAACCATGGATTCAGAGGAGCAACTTATACTATTAACAATTTGCATGACTTCATGGGGTTTTCTTTTCTCACTCAGTGTGTTACCATCAGAGAAGCTGATACTGGCTAAAGCACTTTCTCAAATGATAACCAGTTGAAGAGGGGTTCCATCAGGACACAGTCATGTTCCCTGGATCTTGGGGAACTTGCATAAAGCCTGTATGTTTATCCGAGCATTTGTGTGATGATACAGGAGGCTCAGCAATGTAATCTCAGGCAGGGGGAATTTGCAAATGCTGAATATGCAATGAGAGTACATTATTTCCTCTCATCGACATATGCAAACACAAAATTAGACGCCAAGAACACACATGTGTATGCATTGGGTGTGTAGGCTGGAAAACACACGTAAGATGCGATAAGACACCCCTCCCCCCTTTCTAAGCAGGACTCGTGGAACTGTCCTCTGATGTTGCGGCCAGACAGCTCAGCCCAGTGATCATCAGTGTAGATTCTGCACAGAAGCTGTGCAGGGGAGATTGGAAACTGCCAGTCCAGTAAGGTGCTGTCTCAGTTCATGTTTTCATCAGTTTTCTCAGCTGCATGTAATATAGCTGATAGTGTTTTAATCTTTTCCTGTCCTAACCAAACTTAAGTCAGGAGCTTGTAGTGCTTTTTGCTGCCTTTCGTAGGTGTCACTCCAAGCATCAATTTTCTCCCTGGGTCCAGGGCTGCTTTCTATGTAATAAACCCTTTACTTCTTCATCTCACAGACAAAAGTACTGACACTAGTTTTACTGTAAGCCTCATAAAACTGAATAAGTTCAGCTGGAGAGGTGGCTCAGCCATCCGCCACAACTGAGTTCAATCCCTAGGACCCACTAAGATAGAAAGGATACACTGACTCTGCTCTCCACATGTACATTTTGCATAGGCATACATACATACATACATACATACATACATACATACATACATGCATGCATACATACATACATACATAAATGTATACATGTTTTAAATTTAAGAAGCTATCTAGATGCCTACCTGAGGTAGGTTTCTCCTTAGACCCTGGGCCTGGATTAGGCTAGATTGGCAGGCCAGAGAGCCCCGAGGATGCTCTTAGCTCTGCCTTGCCCATGCTAGGATTGCAAGGGTGAGGTACCATTCCTGGTTGGGTGTTATTCTCATGCAAATTCCGGGAATCTGAGTTTGGTCTTCATGCAGCAAACACTTGACCAACGGAACCACCTTCCCAGGCCCCTGACATCCTAAACGTCATTGCCGCCTCTTCCTCATAATCACATCCTTTCCATTTTATTTATTTATTAGTAGCCATGCCCTTCTCATTCCTACGTGGACGCTTCAAGGCCTCTCGGTCACCCCAGCTTACTTAAGCCATTCCCTTGGCCTTGCTACTTCATTCTACCTCTCTCTTCCCCAGTCACTGTCATCACTGCCTGAGTCTCAACTACCCGAAAGCTGATTTAACTGTTGCCGTCCTCCGCACAGAGCACAGAGTGAAAGTGGGAGAGAGAAAGAGTGAGTCTGGACCTGATGATTCATTTACTGAAAACACTTCCAAGCTGCAGGCCCCTGGCAATAAACATCATCTCTCTGGACTTCAGTCTTAGCTATAGGATGCTTCCTTTTATAAGTGGCATAACTATAAACAAAGCTGAAATTCTGTAGGATTTGCATTAATTCCAAAGATCTCTAGGTTTCTTCATGTTGGCTTGAAGCAAGTATTTCAGAGTGCTGGGCACTGGCCCTCCTGTAGAGGACCTGGTGTTGGTTCCTAGCACCCTCGTGGTGGCTCACACCTGCATGTAACTCCGGTTTTGGGGAATAAGATGCCCTCTTCTGACTGCTGTGGATACCTGGTTTGGCATAATGTGCACAAACCCTCGGGCACACACATACACATACACATAAAATAATAAATGATGGCATATGCCTGTTACCTCAGCACTTTGGAGGTGGACGCAGAAGAAGAAGGGATTCAAGACCAGCCTTGGGTACATATTAAGACTGAGAACCATCAGGCTAGATTAGAGAGGGAAAAAAGGCCAAAAATGGATGGTGAAGAAATAGAAGGGGTGGTGCACTCACACCAACTTGTACTTTATACTCTTTCCTTCTGTCATTCATATCCTCTGTGTCATTTTTCTGTGGAACACGTATGCACATACAAACACATTTATAATTCCGTGAACCTCGTGTCTGTCTACACTTCCAAAAGTTCTTTTAAAAAAATGACAATCAAAACTTGGTCTGCCCAAGACTTATCTTGCCAAAAATGTCTGACAGACGCCTAATTTGAAAATTAGCCTGCTGTCTTAGTCACCCCCAGGAGAGAAACCTAACCCAAAGGAAGTTCGTAGGCAGTTAGGATGCTGGGATTTAAAAACCTCAGATATTGGGGCCCGGTGGTTAAGTGCACTTGCTGCTCTTGCAGGGGGCCCAGATTCAGTTCCCAGGACCTACAAAGTGGCTCCATCTCCAGGGGATCTGACACCCTCTTCTGATATCAAGCACCAAGTACATACATGGTGTACATACATACCTTCAGGCAAAGCATTCGTGCAAAGAAAATATTAAATAATCCAAAGATGTCTCCATAGCGAGAGATGTCCCTCTGGAACGTCGCACCTTTGCCCTGGTGTCACCTCACTTGTCAGGGGATCCTTTAGTCTCAGGCGTGTCCATATTTCTCCTGGCAGCTCACAACATGAACAGAGAGACTGCCATTTAATCTATTTTTTCTCAAGTAAAATTAAAAAAAAAATACTGTAGGGAAATACTGATAATCTAGCAATTATTTGGACCTTGGCTCTAGGTTCTGAAAATTTGATTCATGAATGGACAGAGTACATTACTATTCCCAGGACATAGCCAACGGCAATGA